CTGAAGAGTTTTGGTGAAATGGTATCACCCTGCCGAACCCCTCTCTTGATATGGATGATTACTTCTTTGTAGAATGGTGAGATCTTGGTAGTGAATCCGCAATAGAGCTCACGAAGGATCCTGATGTATTGAGTTTGTACGCCCTGATTGGCTAGGGCTTCCATGACCGCTTCCGTCTCAACAGAATCAAAGGCCTTCTTTAAATCAATGAACGTTAGACAGAGCGGCATCTTGAACTCCCGAGATACCTCAATGAGCTTGGTTATTGTGTGGATATGGTCGATGGTACTGAATCCTTTTCGGAATCCAGCTTGTTCACATGGTTGTCCTTCATCTAGTGTTCTGCTAATCCTATTCAGGATGACTCGAGTGAATAGTTTGTAGATGACAGACAATAGGCAGATTGGGCGATAGTTGCCAATGTCGTGGATGTCTCCTTTCTTGTATAGTAGTACAGTCTTGCTGGTTTTCCATTGGGATGGAACCTTGCATTCAGACAGGTAGCGTGTGAAGAGTCGAGCTAATGTATTGATGAGTACTGATGGTAAGTTCTTCAGGTGTTCAGGTCTGATCTTGTCTGGGCCAGGTGCTTTTTGTTTCTTTACCGACGAGATGGCATGTTCGATTTCGGAAGGGAGAACATTGGGAACGACATATCCATCATGTGGTATGTGGTATGTGGGCAAGTGGATTGTGGCTATTAAAGAGATCTGAGTAGAAGTCATGAATAATCTTCTCCATTGCCCTTCTGGAAGATGTGATAGATCCATCATGATGTCGGAGGGCAGTCATCTTGGTTTTGTAGTTGGTGAAGGACAGGCGGGCATTACGAATGTTTTTCCCAGCTTCTGCTGCATCTACCAGTACTGCTGCTCTCCTGTTTTTGAGGTCATCCTTGATGGCTTTTCTGCACTGTTTTGCCAGTTCGGACGTTTGCTTGTGGTTGCCTGAGGCACGTGCCACACCACGTTGGCGAATAAGTTCAAGAGTGTTCGAAGAAAGACGGTTTTTTGTGGTTATCTCTCTCTTGGCATTCCTTGCACAATCATGGAGGTGCTGAATCATTCGATCGTATTCTTCATCAATGTTGTCAATGACGGCATCTTCCCATGTTGCTGCAACAGAGCCAAAGAGTTCCCAGTTGGTGGTTGTTCTGGGAGTCTTCTTCTTAAACCTTGCATTCTTTTCTCCTCGTTCTGTGAGGTAGAATTTTGCACGAAGAAGACGGTGGTCTGATCCCGTTTGGAATTTTGGGACAACAGCAACATCGGTTAGGCAAAACCGCCGATTGAATATGATGTGGTCTATTTCATTGTGGAACCGTCCATCGGGAGACTCCCATGTCCAACGTTTAGATTCAGCCTTTTGGAATTGTGAGTTACCATGGAAGGTTTTGGTTGACATGATGAACTCAGACAGTCTGTCACCTTGTTCGTTCCATTCCAGGCCATGGGTTCCGATGTGGAGTTCATCGACTGATCTTCTTGGTCCTATCTTGGCACTAAAATCACCGACAATGATCTTGTAGAAGGTGTGATCTTCTTTATAGAATTTCTCCAGCTCCATGTAGAATTTCTCAGTTTCTTTTTCACCATAACTGGATGTTGGTGCGTAGACAACAAAGATAGAAACTGCCGGTAGTGAGCCACATTTATTCAAGTGTAATCGTCCGATTCGGGTTGTTAGGCATTCAAATGAATCAATGCTTGTGACTAAGTTTGTGTTGACAAGGATACCGACACCACCGACGCCTCTTTTATCACATGTTCCAAGGAACAGTTCTTCTCCAGTGTCGAAAACAGCATGATGGGATTGATGTCTTCTCGTTTCGGTCAGACCAATGATGTCGTACTTGATCTTTCGTGCTTGTACCATAAGGTCTTCAATGGATGCAGCAGATGCCAGCGTACGAGCATTAAAAGTACAGACAATCATTTTTGTTTTTCTGCGTTTTGGCAGCCCATGTCTGCCTTGGTGTTTTATCAGCTTCTCCTTCCATATCCTTCTCGACTCTGCATAATCAGGGCTAGGGAAATGAGATCCATTTATTACTGGATTTGGCATATCAATTTGGTCTATTTGGCATAGATCACGGATAGCTTGCCAGGCTCTGCCGTGTGGGTTGGATATTTAAGGATATTTAAGGTATCCTGAAAATTATTAAATAAATAGTCGCGCGGCCAAATGCGGCCGCGCGCTCCCGGGAGCTTGTTGTGATAATCTTTGGATCCTGGCCTTTGTTGGGGTTACACGGCAGTTGGAGGGTGTAACTGTTTAGCTACTGACAGGTCCAGTCCCAAACCGTGCAGGCTTAGAGATCTCAGTCCCGGGTCCCACACACCTGGGTTCCTCTGCCAGTTCGGTTATGTCTGAGGCTTATCCAAGTGTGTGGAGAGTGGCTCCAGTAAGGCCTTGGTTGGGGCCTGGAAGTCTTCAGCTCTTGGGCCCTGGCGAGGATAGTCAGACACAGGGTAGGAGACTCTGCCTTGTGCTCTCCCGGGAGCTTGTTGTGATAATCTTTGGATCCTGGCCTTTGTTGGGGTTACACGGCAGTTGGAGGGTGTAACTGTTTAGCTACTGACAGGTCCAGTCCCAAACCGTGCAGGCTTAGAGATCTCAGTCCCGGGTCCCACACACCTGGGTTCCTCTGCCAGTTCGGTTATGTCTGAGGCTTATCCAAGTGTGTGGAGAGTGGCTCCAGTAAGGCCTTGGTTGGGGCCTGGAAGTCTTCAGCTGTTGGGCCCTGGCGAGGATAGTCAGACACAGGGTAGGAGACTCTGCCTTGTGCTCTCCCGGGAGCTTGTTGTGATAATCTTTGGATCCTGGCCTTTGTTGGGGTTACACGGCAGTTGGAGGGTGTAACTGTTTAGCTACTGACAGGTCCAGTCCCAAACCGTGCAGGCTTAGAGATCTCAGTCCCGGGTCCCACACACCTGGGTTCCTCTGCCAGTTCGGTTATGTCTGAGGCTTATCCAAGTGTGTGGAGAGTGGCTCCAGTAAGGCCTTGGTTGGGGCCTGGAAGTCTTCAGCTGTTGGGCCCTGGCGAGGATAGTCAGACACAGGGTAGGAGACTCTGCCTTGTGCTCTCCCGGGAGCTTGTTGTGATAATCTTTGGATCCTGGCCTTTGTTGGGGTTACACGGCAGTTGGAGGGTGTAACTGTTTAGCTACTGACAGGTCCAGTCCCAAACCGTGCAGGCTTAGAGATCTCAGTCCCGGGTCCCACACGCCTGGGTTCCTCTGCCAGTTCGGTTATGTCTGAGGCTTATCCAAGTGTGTGGAGAGTGGCTCCAGTAAGGCCTTGGTTGGGGCCTGGAAGTCTTCAGCTGTTGGGCCCTGGCGAGGATAGTCAGACACAGGGTAGGAGACTCTGCCTTGTGCTCTCCCGGGAGCTTGTTGTGATAATCTTTGGATCCTGGCCTTTGTATCTACATTATAAAGCATAATTCCCAAAAGAGAGGAAGAGAGGAAGAAAGAAGAAGGAAAGAAGGAAGAAGAAGAGGAAGGAAGAGGAGGGGGGGAGGATAAGGGGGAGGAGGAGAATGAGGGGGGTAAAGAGGAAGAAAGGAAGAAGAAGAAAGAGGAAGAAGAAGAAAATGCTTGCCATAGAGGCAGGCTGGGTGCAGGGGTGGGGGTGACAGGAGGGAAACTGGAGACATTGGTGGTGGAAAATGTTCACTGGTGGAGGGATGGGTGCTGGAACATTTTGTGACTGAAACCCGATCATAAACAGCTTTGTGAATGAATATTTCATGTGATCCAAGTTAAAATAAATAAACAACTATGATAATCAAAGGACATAGATCAACAAGGGTTTTCAGTTTGGTTTTTGTAATGTCCTGCTGGGCTGGAGCGATAGCACAGCAGGTAAGGGCGTTTGTCTTGCAGGCAGCCAACATGGCCGACCCGAGTTCAATTCCTCGGCCCCTCTTGGAGAGCCCGGCAAGCTACCGAGGGTATCTAGTCCACTTGGCAAAACCTGGCAAGCTACCCGTGACATATTCGATATGCCAAACACAGTAACAACAAGTTTCAGGATGGAGACGTTACTGGGCCTGCTCGAGCAAATCGATGAACAACGGAAGGACCGTGACCGTGATCTCAGTGAACAATATCCTGCTAACATGGAGTTAGCATGGTAACATAGCCATTTGGGTATAGCCATCACTCACTGTATGCACATCCGTATACTTCAATCCGCATCCCGATCCTGCCCTTAGGGTTCCAGGCCACGGGAAGGAAGCGCAGAAATCTGGCTTGAAAGGGAGAATGGAGTCTGTATTGCACCACGCTGTCTGCATTTGAGTTTCCTGGAAAGCCCTTGGAGAAAAAAAAAATGATCAATATAGATAGAAGATCATCTTTACATTGTTACCCCACTTGACAGTAAACAGCAGGTGCTCCACTTTATCAAAATGCAGAACTGTCCTGTTTTAAAGGAATTTTTCTAACGTTTAACCTGGAAAATGACAATTTCTCCTCAGGAAAGTGACAACCTCTTCTCAGAGGGTGGATCAAAAATCTTCATCAAGATTTTTCTATTTGAAGACTATTTTAAATTTCAGTGCTACATTAAATGAGCTATAAAACGTCTACCTTCAAAAGCTGCTATTAGAAAGGTGCTCATCTCCTAAACCCATTCTCTGATTCCAAAGCAAGTCAATGCAACCATATGGACGCTCTCCATCTTTTCCTCCTCTTTCTTTATATTATCTTAGGGTTTTTTTCACATTAAAATGACTATTTTTTGCTTTTTCTTTATTTGTATAAATATTCTTACTAAAGCATCATGACTTACAAATTTACTGATAGTTGTGTTTTAGGCACACACTAATTCAATAGCAGTCCCTCCACCAGTGTCAGCTTCCCTCCACCAGTGCTCCCATATTCCTCCCCATCCCAACCCCCACTTTACCCCTACCTGTCAGCTGTCAGCGTGACAGGAATATTGCAAAGTTTCACTCGTTACTGCTTAGGTATCATGTCTTCAGTTTTTTTTTTTTAAATATGGAACGCTTTATGATTTTGCACGTCATCTTTGTGCAGGGGCCATGCTAATCTTCTTTGTATCGTTCCAAATTTACTATATATGCTACCGAAGCGAGCATATGTCTTCAGTTTTAATGAATCTGTGTTTTGGAAATCTGGCTATACCCCTCCCCCATATCATCGGTATAAAAAAGCCCTGATGCCTATTCACAGATAAGTCCATTTCACAGATAAGTGACATCATCCTGGGTTTGTCTTTCTTCTTCTGGCTTATGATTATCTTCCAGTTCCATGTTCTTTTTTAAGGTTATAGTCCTTTCCTTTATTGGATTGCCAAATTTAAAAAATGGAAAGTAAAGCAATCATTAACTGGTTCAGGTAAAGAAAACATCTTGACCTGAGTGACCCATCAGGTCTACTCTGACTTGCCCTAAAATTCCTCCCAGAAAAAGCTTCTGGTATTTCAGTATTTTTTTATCCTGACTCTATTAAAACCATCTGGACCGTATGGGTCAACCACCTATGAGCACAGTTCTCCGCAAACCTATTATTATGTACATTGTTCACAGTTTGATCTCTCACTAGAGCAGATTTCTCTACAGAGGCAGCGCTCTGGGACCCATTAAGGTAGGCATTTCAAGCAAGGCATTTCTTTTTTCAGATTTGGTATTAGTCTGAACTTATCTGAGTTCCCCGGAGTACTACCACAAGAGCTGGTCACTGATAGAAATTTTGTCATTCACTTTGGAAGGTCTTTCTTTAGAACAGGTCATTTTTGTTAAGAACCCCAAAAGACGCTCCAAGCTCCTGTTTTTGCCCCATTCAGGAGAAACATACAAATTTCCCCAGAGTCTGGCTTCACTGATGACTAAGTCAGAATTCTGATGGCTTGTTTCGCTCTTGCCGAGCTTTCTCCTCTTTGTGGGTTTTCTGAAGTCCAGAGGGCGGTGCATCCGGCCCGAGGCCCAGATGACCTTGAGGATACTGGAAAAGCTGCCCTCGGTATGAATTCCCTTAGAATGGAAAGGGGGATGCACTCCAGAAAGCTCACACTCATTGCCTCGGAAGGGTTCTCATCTCGGAATCCCGAGCCCCTTGGAGGTGCTCAAGTATGAACTCAACTAACGCTTTACCAAAACTCGGGGCATCTGTACGGTTTCTCACTGGAGTGACTAGTAAGGGGTCCTGTCAGGCAGCTCTGCGCAAACCATCTCACTGCCTCCAACTGCAGATTCTCTGGTCCCCACTCAGGTCTGAGGTCTGAGGAAAGTCTGAGATTTACCTAAGCATTTTCTTTCCATCTTAATGAGTCTTAAACATGTACATTAAAAAAATAACAATAAGGGGGCTGGTGCGATAGCACAGTGGGTAGGGCGTTTGCCTTGTATGCGGCTGACCCGGGTTCGATTCCCAGCATCCCACGTGGTCCCCTGAGCACCGCCAGGAGTAACCCCTGTGAATGGCCAGGTGTGACCCCAAAAGCAAACAAACAGGCAAAAAAAATAAAAAATAATAATAATAATAAAATTTCAGTGAAGAGCCGAGCCAGTGTATTGATGAGTACTGACGGCAGGTTCTTCAGGTGTTCAGGTCTGACCTTGTCTGGGCCGGGTGCTGTTTGCTTCTTTACTGACGAAATGGCGTGTCGGATTTCGGAAGGGAGAACGTTGGGAACGACATACCCATCCTGTGGAATTTGGTATGTCGGCAAGTGGACATGGCTATCGAAGAGATTTGAGTAGAAGTCATGGATAATCTTCTCCATTGCCGTTCTGGAGGATGTGATGGATCCATCAGGACGTCGGAGGGCAGTCATCTTGGTCTTATAGTTGGCGAAGGACAGGCGGGCGTTACGAATACTTTTCCCGGCTTCTGCCGCATCTACCAGTACTTCTGCTCTTCTCTCTTTGAGGTCTTCCTTGATCGCATCTCTGCACTGCTTTGCAAGCTCGGACGTTAGCTTGCGGTTGCCTGAGGCATGCGCCAAACCACGCTGGCGAATTAGCTCAAGAGTTTTCGAAGATAGGCGACTTTTTGTGGCTATCTCTCTCTTGGCGTTCCTCGCACATTCATGGAGGTGCTGAACCAGTCGATCGTATTCCTCGTCAATGTTGTCAACAATGGCATCTTCCCATGTTGCCGCAATAGTACCAAAGAGTTCCCAGTTGGTGGTCGTTCTGGGAGTTCTCTTTTTGAACTTTGCAGCCCTTTCTCCCCGCTCTGTGAAGTAGAATTTTGCATGAAGGAGACAGTGGTCCGATCCCGTTCGAAATTTTGGGACAACAGCGACATCAGTCAGGCAAAACCGTCGATTGAATATGATGTGGTCTATTTCGTTGTGGAATCGTCCACCGGGAGACTCCCATGTCCATCGTTTAGATTCTGCCTTCTGGAACTGTGAGTTACCATGAATGGTCTTGGTCGACATGATGAACTCAGACAGTCTCTCACCCTGTTCGTTCCATTCTAGGCCATGGGTTCCAATGTGAAGTTCTTCAGCTGATCTTCTCGGTCCTATCTTGGCATTAAAATCACCCACAATGATCTTGTAGAAGGTGTGGTCTTCTTTATAGAATTTCTCTAGCTCCATGTAGAACTTCTCGATTTCTCGTTCATCATAATGAGATGTTGGTGCGTAGACAACGAAGATAGAAACTGCAGGCAGTGAGTCACATCTATTCAAATGTAAACGTCCGATTCGGGTTGTTAGGCATTCGAATGAATCAATGCTCTTGGCCAAGTTTGTGTTGATAAGGACACCGACGCCTCCAACACCTCTTTTATCGCATGTTCCGAGGAACAATTCTTCTCCAGTGTCGAAAACGGCATGGTGAGATTCGTGTCTTCTTGTCTCGGTCAGACCAATGATGTCGTACTTGATCATTCGCGCTTGTACCATCAGGTCCTCGATGGATGCATCTGATGCTAGCGTACGTGCATTGAAAGTACAGACGATCATTTTTGTCTTCCTTCGTTGTGGCAGCCTAAGTCGGCCTTGAGATTTTGTCGGCCTCTCCTTTCTCATCCTTCTCAGTGCTGCCATGTCGGTGAAGCCTTCAGGGTCAGGTGAATGAGACCAGTTGTAGTTACTGGTTTTGGCATATCGAATACACAGCGGATAGCTTGCCAGGCTCTTCCGTGCGGGCGGAATACTCTCGGTAGCTTGCCAGTCTTTCCGAGAGGTATAGAGGCTTTTGGGGTGACCTCTAATCACCCTTGTAGGTGTTACCATATTTGAACCCTATAAAATATGGTACGACAATTCCAGAAGACGGGTATTTAGTGTCTTATGATGTGTCGCGCGGCCGCTCGCTACCTGTCTGAATGCAAGGTTCCATCTCAATGGAAAACCAGCAGGACCGTACTACTGTTCAAGAAGGGAGACATCCATGACATTGGCAACTATCGCCCGATCTGCCTATTGTCTGTCATCTACAAGTTGTTCACTCGAGTCATCCTGAATAGGATTGGCAGAACACTAGATGAAGGACAACCATGTGAGCAAGCAGGGTTCCGCAAAGGATTCAGCACCATCGACCATATCCACACGATAACCAAACTCATTGAGGTTTCTCGGGAGTTCAAGATGCCGCTCTGCTTAACGTTCATTGATTTAAAGAAGGCCTTTGATTCTGTTGAGATGGAAGCGGTCATTGAAGCCCTAGCCAATCAGGGCATTCAAGCCCAATACATCAGGATCCTCCGTGAGCTGTATTGCGGATTCACTACCAGGATCTCACCATTCTACAAAGAAGTGATCGTTGATGTCAAGAGAGGGGTGCGGCAGGGTGATACCATTTCACCAAAACTCTTCAGTGCCACCCTCGAGAACATCATGCGACGACTGGAATGGGAAGGAATGGGAGTGAAGATAGATGGTCGGCAACTACACCACCTCCGCTTTGCTGATGACATTGTTTTAATAACACCAAACATCAGCCAAGCGGCACAAATGCTGGCCGACTTTGACCGTGAGTGTGGAAAGGTAGGACTACAGCTGAATCTTACGAAGACAATGTTTATGAGAAACAGCCTTGTTCCTGATGCCCCATTCGCTCTCAATGGAACGACCATCTCCGAATGCAACAGCTATGTGTACCTAGGTCGAGAGGTCAACATGAGAAATGACCTGGCACCCGAGCTGCGCAGGAGGAAGAGAGCAGCTTGGAACGCCTTCAAGAACGTCGAAGAAATAGCTAAGAGGATGAAGAACCTCCGGCTCCGGGCACATCTCTTTGATTCCACTGTTCTTCCTGCATTAACATATGCCTCAGAGACCTGGGCCCTACACAAACAAGATGAGAACGCCATTCAGGTCTCCCAAAGAAGAATAGAAAGAGCTATGCTTGGAATATCACGTTTCACTCAAATGAGAGAACGAATCCGGAGTTCTGACATCCGTCGACGATCAAGGATCAGGGACGCTGTCTCATTTGCCAAGGTGTCGAAAATCAGATGGGCTGGTCACGTAATGAGATTTAAAGACGACCGTTGGACTAGAGCTGTTACTGATTGGATTCCACGGGATGTCAAGAGACCGCGTGGCCGCCCACCTACCAGATGGTCAGACTTCTTTGTCAAGGTCATGAACGATCGGTTTGAGGCCCTCCATGTTCCCGGAGCGAAGAGATGCCATTGGGCTACACTAGCACGCGACAGGGACAAATGGAGACGTTACTGGCGCCCGCTCGAGCAAATCGACGACTAACGGGAAGTTAAGTGATTTAAGTGAAAATTTCAGTCTGGTCAAGACATCTGCGAGGCGTCCGCCGCATGCGGGGGGCTCAGCTCAAGGCCTTTTTCACCCACGTGACACAGGTAGGGTTTGTCACCGGCGTGGCCCGCGGGATGCGGACTGAGCCCCGCAGCCTGGTGGCAGCCTTTGTCGCAGGCGCTGTACCTGCACCGCAGCTCCCCGGTCTGAGTCCGCATTTTCTGCTGCGCCACGAAGTCCATGCCCAGGAGGAAGCCACCGTCGCAGGCCGCCACTGGCGCGGCTTTTCGTCCACATGGATCCGCTGGTGGACGATGAGGTCAGGGTCGCGGCCGAAACCCGGGTCGTGCTCCAGGCACCAGAAGGCGTGCGTGTGCGTGGCCTGGTGCCGGATGAGGTTGGCGC